TGTTTCTATTTTCAAAACATGGAAGTAAAGTTTGATGAGCTTGTTCGTTCTAGATTCAAGAGACAGAAAATATTCTGTCATACAAAAATCTCTCTATCTATAAATTTTCACATATTGTTTCGATAGTGTAGAAAGTAACACAGAATAAGAGCAGGTAAAAGAAACAACTGTGACAGAAGAAGCAGGTTGTATTTTTTTTATAATCGGCCAAATTGATTATTCATTAATGTTTTTGTTAGTTATTCATTACAAGTACTTTGTGTGTAAAAAATTTATCTTTATCGTATTAATTCTCATCAAGACATAAAATTTTTTAAAACACTTCATGACTAATAATATATGACCCCAATATAACAGGTCATTTCTATGTCTAGTGTTTTTAGTTCGTATGGTACATACAATTCTGAATCCCCTGAAGAATTTTTGCATCCACTCTTTTCACTCACTTTTTTTACATTTTTTTACATTAGATTGTAAAAGATTAGTCAAAAGCTGAAAGGTCACTAACATGTTGACTGTACACAGCAGTTGTGTTTTTTACCTATTCTTACGCTACGTTACTTTTCCACATAATGAAACAATAGATGAATATATTAAATAGAGATGTTTTGTAAAACAGACGATTCTCTATCTCTTAGACCTAAAGCTGATGTCTCAAACTTTATTTCCATTATTTTAAACGAAGAAATCAGAATTAGATATTTTGTCCAGTTATGCATCAGAACTCAATAATATTCGACTTCATAATACTATTCCGTTGATAATTTTTGATCTATACCGATTGAATTGACCGTTAGTTAGTTTACATACCATCTGTTTTCCTATGTAAATGAAAATGTGTCCCTTTCAAGAAAAAATAATGTCTATGCCATGAGAAAATAAATTATGAGTAATTAGAGTACAAATTCTAATGTAAATTATAAATGTCCACTATAATTACTTATTTTTTTCTCTTTCAATATAACTAAAAATTATTGGAATACAAAAATGACGATAAAAAAAGAAAAATAGAATAAACTACGTTTTGTTATTTTCAATAAAATGCATACAATTTTCAGACTACAGTCTCTCTAAAGACTCGTATCATGCGATGTGATTTGTATTGCATGTTTATACATGTCAAAACAAATTACAACAAATTTCATAATTGTTGAACTTCATAAATATAGGACTCTATATCATCAATTAATCTTCACTAACCCTCAACATTCATTAGAAACAAAGGCAACAAAACGTTTTATCTTTTCGAGAAAAAAAAAACATTTCATTGAAAGATGAAACATAGTATTACTATATTCTTTTTGAATATCAAATTTGACTACTACTATTAGATCTATCTTTTTATTTTTGTCATATGACGACTTAACTGTTCATGTGCACGCATAAATGAACAAATGAAAAACTTTTTGATAAAATTTTCCATTTCAATAACATTGTTGGTTGAAAAGATATTGAAAATTTTTTTCACAATGATATCAACTCTTCCAAAAAGAATGAACTCTTTCAAAAATATCAATCATCGTTTTTCTAATGATTATAATTAATAACTTTTCTCCTATTAAAAAGAAATTGTGTGAATTTTTTTTGATTAAAAATAATTTCATTCTTTTTATTCGTAACGGAAAACTTCATTTCGATTTACCTTTGACTCGTCAATAGATCAAAAGGCGACTTCCTCTTACATCAAGGCATGCGCCGATGAATCGACATACCTTTCACTCGTTCGCTTACCTCCACGTCTAAATGACGTTATTTGTTGATATCATTTATCAGATATGTTCAAAAGAAATAAGAAGAAGAAATTTCCTCTTCTTGCCTTCTTTTAATTGGTAAAGAACAATTAAAAATGAATTTATTTTATGAAAAAAAAAAGTTGTATTATTGTTCTTTGTATTGAGAAAAAAAAAATTGTTCGAGGCTCCTTCTATTTCTGTTTCTTTTTCACACGTTCTTTGTTCAACATCATACACATACGAATATATATATATACATATACATAGAGTATCTTTTTATTTTTTATTTTATTTATTGTATAATCAGGGGAAGGCGATACGATACGTGTGTGTAGTAGTAATACAGTCTCCTTTTCTCTTGTCTAATACGTAACCATTGTAAAATTTCTTATACAAAAGGAGAAAATACCTGTTGGTAAAGAGCGGAAGGGTCCAGCGTGGAACAAAAGAGTGAGACAATGAATAGAAGAGGAAAAGAAATACTTATATACGCATGAACTACAGGTAATTTGATATTTTATGAAATAAATAACTCTGAAATAATGATATCGTTCAAAAAACTTTGACAATAAATTTTTGCTTCTTTCTTTCTGTCTCTCTTCATGTGTAATGTTAAGATTTATGGAAAATAAAATTTTATATCAGATTATCGAGAATCCATCATGAACAAGAAGAAGAGATCAATCATCTTTGAACTGTTCGTAAATAGAAAAAACGAGAACAATTCTTTTATAATCTAGCAAAGGGCTTCTACTTTCAATATAATATTGAATTTGGTGAGTATTAAAAGTTTATAGAAATTTTACACCGAACAGTATATTCTTCTGTTGACATAAAACAAATGGGACTCCGCGGGGAAGGGTTCTATGTACCGCCCATTTTATAACCTCTGTCCAAATGCAAATTTTAGAATCTAGTACATTAACGGTAAATAGCTGCTAGCAGTAAAACTAACCATTACCTTCGTATTAAATTAAAAAAAAATCAATTTTTTTTATGTTGATGATAACAATAACATAACTTTAGATAAAATTCAATTTGTGTGTAAAACGTACTTGAAAATATATACAAACTGAAATTAAACAATCAATAAAAAAACATGGCGTTGGTGTAATTTGAGAATGTGTACAAATGATGAAAATACGAAAAGGTTGATTGAAAGATATTTGAAACGATATCGTAAACATTTGAACACTTGAATATTCAGTTTCCAATGGTACTTTTAAAAAGAAATCTATCAAGAAAATTATGCTAATGCTCTCGTGTCCACAGAAGAATTAAGGTAAATATTGAACTATAAAAAAATCATAGATGAACAATAAATTTTTCAATTTGTTACCAAATCGTATGATATTCTTATCTGATGATGTTGTCTGAATTAAGATTTATTCTAGTTTCGAAATATATCCACTCTATTATCTTAATACAATTTTTCTTTAAAATGCAGCAAAACAATTTGTCGTTAGACTTCTGATTTTTTTTTTTCAACATATATGGCCGTTAGATGTTGTTCTATTTTTTTGTCAAACAAAAGTAAATATGAACACTATAGAAAAAAAAGCACTTTCTCTACACTGTGAGGCAATAGAAAAACGTAATAAGACACAACACATGAAGCCATACTTTACTGTCTACCACTGTGTTACTTCACAGGGACTTAAACGCTATATACGCACAACTTGTCGATAGCTGATATTCTATATGATACCTTAACAAGACAATACCTTCTTTCATAACGAGTTTTGATTTGAATGGAGCCGAATGGCTGTCAACATCTGAATAAATGTGGATCACCTTCTAGTTTGTTATTTGTTTTGTATAGGTCAAATGCGGATCATATCCAGTTTTAACCTCTAACTGGATATATCTTCTTGCTTAAACAATCTGTAAACCTAAGACTGTATACAAGAACTTCATATATTCTGTAAGTTTCATGATTATTAGGTATTTTTGTAATGAAATTTAGCAACAGATTGACGAAAATATATTCAATCTGGTACTAACATTGCACATTTGTGTAGTTTTAGCGTTCGCTAAAAGCTTAAACACTCGACTTTGTCATTCACCAAATCAAAAGCCATATTTAGGATTGAATTAGAATTGTTATCAATATTGGCTAATATTGACGTAGTAATTTTTGTTCATCTAATCTAAACATTATTTCCTTTGCAGCGAAACGAAAGCAGAACATTTTTATTAAAAATGGGGAAAAAGCAGGGAATATGGCAGGATTTGAGGTAAAGTTAGTTGTTTAAAACTACTTAAAGATTTTTTTTTTCCTTGTTTTAAAAGATTATACCTATCACAGTGAGATAGATGTATCTATCATATCATCAGACGTTTGACCTACTATATCCTGCTGTATTGTGAAAGTCTAACCATGATGTGATATCGTATTCATCGAATGAATTTTTCCGTCGATTTACATGAATACAATATTAAATAATGGTTTAGTGACAGCAATAAGCCTGTCTGTCTTATGATTTAAGAATTATTTATAGATATTAAAACAGTAGTTAGTTAAGTAGTAAGCGATACACATGATCAAGATAAATTTTATCAACCGTATTAGTGGAACTATTTGAAATTCATTTTAGTTGAAGGTATGCATATAACTGGCATAAAAAATATTTCCTTACACTTTTCTTTTTCTAGCAAGATTCAATCGTTAGTAATCAATATAACATAATCTATTTTTTTGTTTCTATGAAAAAAAAAATTTGCATAACATCTTTTTATATATCGTCATTCATATCCGTCGATTTTTCTATCTTATCCCTGCATACTTGTATCCGGGCACGACTAAAGAAACGTAAATATCCATACTTATCCAGATTTTCAATCTAATTCTTTTACCAATAATTCTTGCTAAACATATTTGAATATCAAAAACTTATCTTTATTGAAAAAATGTCTGTGCTTTCTACAGTTAGTCTGCATAATCATAAAAAAGAACAAATTGACAACAACAAAAGAAAACTAACACATTTGATTCATCGACACGATTCACATATTATGTCATAAATATGACATTTTTGTTTATCATTGCGCAATTTTTTCTGAATTTTTCGATGAAAATGGAAAACTGAAACTTTGTATCATCAGGAAGTAACAACTACACTGAAAACAGTTTCTAAAAAAGCTATCATTAGAAAAAAATGAATGAAATACTGATCACAAATATAGTATAAATAAAATCGACAAACGCGGAAATAAGTCTAGTCTTATTAAATTTCACCGGGCACACACATAACCAGTTGGTGCTATTCACAGTAATCCTACATGAAACAGAAAATAGCATGAATCATATCATCAACCACTTATTTGAAAAAATCGAATAATAAAAAGTTGAAAGATTATAAATATTATTTATTGAATTAATTTAAGAACGAATCAATTCTTACCTGCATTGTAAATATCAACTGGTAAAATTGGTACATTGTATAACATGTATTCTATTGTTGATAAACGTCCAGCAAAATGTCGAGCAATATCTTCATTTTGTATTGGTGTGATCTGTGAAGCAAGAGCGGGATTTGAGGTTATTAACTAGAAAATAGAATATAGATAGAAATAGAAATAGAAATAGAACCAGAAATGGCATAAAAATGAGAACATACTTGACCATTAATGAATATTTTAACAAAATTCAATGACCTAGAAATATACAAAAGTAAAATTAATGCTTATTACACTTGGTCAAGTGCTTATAACGTATACCAGTCTGATTTTCCTTTATCAACAAAATGTACTTCAACAATTTTATTTTTGATTAATGATGAAAATTGATTAGTTATTTTGCGTGACCAAGAAATACCATTTTTCGGAAATGACTAAAATAAAATGTTTTCATTTTCAGCATGATTAAAAACTCATTTGTTTTCCTTTACTTCAGCTAATGTGCAAACAACAGCCATTGCCGGAAGGCGTGCTAATGATTCATGTAATGGATATATTTTATTGATTAGTTTCGATTCAGTATTTCCATAATCCAAATATACAACAAAGACAGATTCGCCTTAAAGGTTAAAAATGATACTTATAGGAACAGAGAGTAAAAAAACCATTACTTACTATTAGTTTTTAAAAGAACACGTGCTCGATACCAAAAGTTATCTTCACTAAATTGAGTAGCACAAAAATCACCAATTGTAACATTTTCAAGAGGAAACATTGTATTCACAGATTTACTGTAAAATGTACTTGAAAAAAAAATGTATACTCTAAATGATCATAGTTAGGACAAAACCTAAAGCAGTCTCGTTCTAAGACCTTACAGTGTTTTTCTTCGGCATAGCACAGCAAATATCTGTTTTATATAAGGAAAAATAAGTTTCAATTTTCAGTTTTCTTACAAGAATATCCTTTTCTATCAGAAATTTCACAAATTAGCAAAAATAAAATATAACAGTTAACTCAATCTTCTATCATACTTCATGTCATGTGCCATTAATCGAAATTGTTCTTCGATTTGCGGTTTCATATTTTGTACGAAAAAAGCTGAAGGATGATCGACAATTTGAATTTCAGCATTGTGCCATACTGTGCCAGGTTGAATAACCTGCATTTTAATACGAGTTTTGCCAGGTACTTCTGATGCAAAAACAAAGAAACAGAAATATGTATGACTATACCTCATTATCTTGTATTTTTGTTCTCTTAACGTACGCGATTGTGATTCTGGCAATGATGAGGCATTTGAATGCGATGTGGTTTCAGGAAACGATGTTTTGTATGAGATTGTGTGTGATGGTGATGGCACGAGAGTGGCTAATTGTTGACCAGTCTAAATATAAACACAAAAATGCATATTGATAACTGAAGAATTTAAAAGCTCCTTTGAAGTGAAAGTTGCTTGATTACTATTTGCCTTACGAGTGAACCAGAAGCAGAATTTTTTGTACGATAATCATTGATTATTGAAGTTTTTATTTGTTGAAAATGATCAGCGTCGTACAATTGATAACCATTTTGATGAACAGGTATTGATCCAAATAGTTGAGATGGTGGTGGTTCATATAAGGACCGGACTGGATTTCGAAGAGAATTTGATGCTTGATTTGTATGCGGCTGAAAATGTACGACGTTTCGTTGTTGTCGTGGTTGGCAAACAGGTGGTTTTGACAGTAAAATATTGTCTTTCGTATCAACTAAATAAAAAATATAGTTTTCGGGAAAATGTGAAGCAACAGAGATATAGCGTACTAATTAACGTCCTCTCTCACAAAGTAAAAAGATTATTCTTCTCACTCCTCCTGTTCTTAAATAGAATAAGTTACTGATTTTATGTGAAATTGTGTCTATGGACAAAAACGCTTTTTTTCTGACCTTGTTTTATGTCATCAACTTGTTGCTGTTGTTCCTGTTCAACAATTGTATGTGTTGGATGTTGAGCTCTGCTTAAAGCTTCGGTGAGATTATCTGGTTGACTCAATAATCTGGCTATCTGATGTAAAAGTTCTTTTGTTCTGAATACATTTGGTTTTAGAAAATCTGTCACTAAATTATTAGGTCGAAGACTTTGACGTTTTAAGTTCCATATCCGTTTTATATCATCAAAATTACTATCAATATTTGATGTTAATGTTCGAACACTGTCACATAAAAATATCATTTCGTCAATATCTTCCAACGGATCGTAATCACAATTGTTCGATATTGATGTAGCCATCTAGAAATATGAAGATGAACTAAGGAACGATAAAATTTCAGAAAAAAAGAAATGGCAATATCAATAATTTTATGTTTAAGTCAAAAACAGATTCGAATAAACTGTTAGAAAATGAAAAAATTCAACAAAACACTGAAGTTATAATGGAGATTTTCCCTTAAAAAAGAATGACGATTATTGAAGGACAATACTTTTCCCGTATTAAACTTTATAAGTTTTTTCTATAAATCAGATTCCTCTGTATGGCGATGCAGTCTACAGGCAGATTCTCCATCTCTTCCTCCATCTTCTACCATTCTCCTTCTGCGATAGATCTTTCTAGAAATTGTTAATCCTCCTTCACTGGGGAAAAAAATACAATAAATGCATAAACAAGTTTCACGTTTCAAGGAAAGAGAAATAAAAAGACGACTCACTCGTACAATTAAAAGCAGGTTATACTATTGTTGTACAGAGATAAGCTTCGCATACAGTACACCTTAATTTATCGGTAAAAGTCACAGGCTAACCAAAAGATATCATTATAATTCATTTTTAATTTCAAATCAAACGTCAGTCAAGAGTTGAGAATATGGAAGAAACTAGATGATATAAATATCGAATAAAAGTAAACATCTTACATCAGAAGAAAGTTCAACAAGACAGTAGAAACAATTCAGCGTCCAAACTGGAAGAACTTATGAAAATTTATTTTAGTCTCTCACGTGCACAGAAATTATGTGCGAAGATTGTGTTGTTTTATATATTTTTCGATGCATGCTGTACGATCGAGGATTTTTTGTCATTTTCTCATAAGATTTCTGTTAAAATCGTGATTTCCACAAAATTCTGCGTCAATTGAAAAAAATGTTTGACTCCAATTTTTCAAACAAAATCAAAATATCTGTTTCCCCACAGGCAACTTGTTCAAATGACTTGAGAATAACGTTCTACATTTGTCAAGTTTAACATAAGGGAAAATAAGGTTGCGTCGATTAAAAAAATTATGAAAAAATTGGTGATTCTCGGTGGGACCGGTTTCCGCAGCCATCCGTTTGTGCGATACAGAATTTTGTGTCGGTCATGATTTGGCATTTATTTCGACAGAGAAAATATGGAAAAATTATTCCCAAACTCTATTTTCCGCAGCACAGTTCAGTGACAATTAGCAGTTCACAATTCATTACAGTGAGAGCGGCATGTGTCTGAACTTTCGTTTGTAATAAAAAAGTAAAAAGGGACAAAAATCGATGGTTTTTTGTTGTCTGTTCACTGTTTTCGAATACATTTGACTGTTACCACAGTATAAGCCATCGATTTGTATGTATTCTCGTAGTTTGCTTTACAAACTATCTAAAAACCCAAAATAGCTTGTGATTAAATTCCGTTTAAGGATCCCGCCTCCCTCAGAAATTATCTCCGACATCGTACATCCGATCTTGATGAAACTTTCCATAATGTTAAGCACAATGAGTTATGGGACTGAAAAAATTTTTTTGTCTCTAAGTCTTACGGTTTAGGAGTTTTCCGGAGATCAAGGTCTAAAAATGACCACGAAGTATTTCCCAAAACTTTTTTAATATACTTCAAGCTAGAGAGTTCGGGTTTGTTTAATTTTAAACTAGACACTTAGCTACATGGGCTGACCCGTGCCGATTTTTCAATTAGATCTTTGTTCGTTTTGTAGACAGCCAACAACCTCAAAAACCGCTTCCTGGTTTTCTAGAAATCCTCAATTTGACAAAAAACTAAGATCTAATTGAAAATCGGAACCGGTCAGCCCATGTAGCTAGGTGTCTAGTTTAAAGTAAAACAAACCCAAACTCTTTAGCTTGAAGTATATTAAAAATCTTGGGAAATATTTCAGGTGTAACTCATGTAGAGAAAACGCTGTATAAAACGGTCAATTTTAGGACTTTTAGGAAAATGCCGGTAAATTTTTAATACAAGGTCATACAGAGTTGTGCGGCGTCCTGTTTTGATCAGAAAAGTTTGCTCTACAATCTAGGCGTTGAGAAAAAGATTTAATTGCATAAGTAACCAGGAAAAAACTATTATTTGAATATCCGGTTTTTCGAAGCTCCTAGAAAACTTGCTCGAAAGCCGCGAAAAAAAAACCGAAAGCGGTATAGATTCTGAAAATAGATACTTCAGGCTATCTTTTCATGTGCTTATCTCAGAATGGATTTTTTGCCCGAGAATCATCATTTCTGAGGGGGGGGACCTTAAAGAGAAAAAGTAATGTAGTTGGACAGATTGCGCTGAGAACTAAGAATGAATTAGTTTTTCGATAAAGTTTTACATTCGTCAGATTTAAACATCAATTCATATATATATATATACGATTTCCACGTATGAGAAACAACATTTCATTTAGATTTTCTATTGAAAAAATTCGATTAAAATCATATCCTGATACATTATGAAAGTATGAAAAGTACAAAAAAACACATAAAATTCAACTCTCGATCAATATGCTTCGAAATAAAAGCATCTTGAGAAATGGTACGCACATACACACTGTCCTTGTTTTGATACGATGAATAAGTTTCTAGGTTAAAAGTAGTTTCAGACACGAATTCTTGACCAGAGAAGGTGTGGGTTTGAATATAAAGTCCACGAGAAAAAAATTATTTTCTACGCTAACAAACTTCAATAAATGAATCTTTTCGATTAAATGCGGCTTTCTTTACTTTACTCGAATATCGCTCAAAACTATCCTAAAAGGTTCGTGTTTATCTACTACATCCGCAATATATGTCGAAAATATGATTTTCTATCCGGATCGCAAGATAGATGGTACAAAAACCACTGGTTTCTCTACAAAGTTATGTTTTAACATGCAAGTATTTTTTTAAATGAAAAAGGTAGCATTCGGAACCAGTTTAAAAAAGTTTCTCTTTTTTTGATTTTTAATGATAGATTTTGATTGAAATATATTATTTAGATTATTCTCTACCACTCTGCATCGTACAAAGTAAAAGAAACATAAACGAAAAAATGTTTTCCCATATCTCAGCAGTCTATTGTGCTAATGATTTCAATATTTCTCTTGAAGGAGTAACTACTTAGGCCCTGTTCTACTACCGTTAGATAGAGGAGATAATACTGAATAAAATGATGTATGAATAGTAAAATCTGGCATATTTTCTCATACTTTTGGACAGATTTTTCTATTCAATACCGTTTTTTCAGTGAACATTTTTAATTTTTTTCTCTTCATCTAAACATGACTTCCTCGCACATTTGTTACAGATCAAAAGATCGTGAAGAGCTCTTCACAAAGGAATACTTGGCTCTTCTATTTGTGACCGGCTAAGAATGGGGATCTCTGGAAAACGGAGATCTCTAAAATCAGATAGTCAAATGTCGATCGGGAACATTTTCCAAACAACTCAGTCAGATAGAGAAAACATTTCTGAAAAACATGATTCAATCTTCGAGCTATCCACGATCTTTTTGCATCAAACTACATTCAATTTACGAAAAGCCCCATCTGTCATGTTTCTGAAAATTCGATAGTTTTGCTGAGTTTGACATTTTGGGCTTGTCGTAAATTGAATGTAGTTCG